TGCTTTCGGCGCCAGCCTGAAAGGTGGGGGCACAAACGGTGCTGCTGCTCCGGGGCTGCCTCCCCAAAAAGGGGAGGTCTGTGCCGAGCACTATCACTCCTCCTGCAGCTCCTTCTTCCGGCAGGCCTGGAGCCTCCTCCCCGCTGTTTGCTGGACGATCTCCAGCCCCTCCACGTCCAGTTCCTTCATGAGGAGCAAGATGGCATTCAGGACGTTGTTCTGCCACAACGAGACAAGAGATTGTTTTACAGCTACATGTTACCAGGCCTGAGAAGAACGGGGCATCGGGTTTTCAAAGAACTGCTCCTTCTAGGAACTCCCGAGACCTCTGCAGCGGTCTGGAACGGACACCTGCAGCTTCAGGGACGGATCCAAGGGGGCCCTCGGGACCGACGGGTCTAACGGGGATGCGGGTCAAACACGTCCGCCCAGTCCCACGTGGCCGCCCAAAGGGGCCACCCTTTGAACTGACTTGTGCAACACAGAGCGGATTTGGCCGAGCAACCACCCATTCCCTCCTCTGCTGACCGTGGGTAGCATGGGAAAGGACAGGCACCCGCTGCTCTTAAGAGGGAGAGCTGCTAGAATTGCAAATGCGCTAGTTGGAAGGAATCCCTGGATGTCCCCAGCCCAATGTCCCACCAAAGCGTCTGCTGCCAGGACCTGGCCATGGCTTCATCAAGCCAAGAGTTGAAAAACTCCAGAGACAGAGATTCCATAGCCTGCGGCCAATTCCCTTTGCTACATATTCTCTTTTCCTGAAGGCCAGAACCCGCGGTAGGATACTGCAAAGGAATGCACTCAAGTAAGCTTAAAACATCAGTGAGTTAAGAGTTTGCAGGCAGCTAGTACAAAAATGAAGCAGAACATGGTCCAGGTCTCACCCTGGCCTTCCAAAACCCTTCAAAGTGCTGGCCCCAAGCCCAGCATAAAGCAGCTCCCAGCTGGACTCAGCTTAACAGCTGACAGGTTCGACTCGGGCTGCATCACTGAGCTGTCAGAGGAGCCACCAAAACTCAACACCTCTAGCCCACAAGTGCAACAGCTTGCGGTGACACTGCAGCTACTGCCCAGCCACCTCAGCACAGCGCCAGCCTAAGGGACACACACATGCTCGTTTGCGGCCGGATCAGGAGCGCAAACCCCACGAGGCCTTCTTCCTTTTCTGGAGGAAAAACATTAGACATTGTCTTAAAGAAGAAAAACAATGGGGGTGTTAAAGACACTCACTCTCTTCTTTCTGCTGTAGTCTGTCTCTCGTGGCGAAAAGGACGAAAATTTGTCCCTGGGAACAGGCTTCATACCGAGCTGCTCTCGGATTTTGCTAAAGATGGGAGGAAGAGCAGGCATTAAATGAGCAGAAGTGAGCGTGTCCACCAAGGCAACCCTTCACCATCACACCTGCGCCAGAGGCACGGAGGGTTTGAAGCCCATCTGCCTCACGCGCCCCGACTGCAGCGTGACCGCGCGACAACGCTGCGCTGGCGCCCCACGTCCCGCAGCACTAACGGGTGCCAAAGCAGGTCGTGGAAGAGCCAGGCAGGAGTGGACTAGAGCTCTCAGTGCAGTGAGGAGCCCTCTCTGTCTGCACAAGCAGCTCACACGCTCGCGAGCCAGTACCCACCTACGGAAAAGCCCGTTTGGCAGACGCAGAACCAGACCCGCAAGTGCTACTAAGCCCACGCAGCTCCCACGTGGTAACTGGAACAGGAATTTGCAGGTCTGGCTCCCAGGACACTGGGGTTGGCTCGCAGGGTCCTTTCACGCCCCCAAATCCCAAGCGCACACAAGGAGGTCCTCACTTTGTCTCCTCCAGGCTGAAGTTCAGCAGCCCACTCTTGGTCTCCGTTGTGGATTCAGCGGTGCTGGATTCGGGGCAGCCGTTCTCCACGTTCCTCCGGGCCGGCGGGGCCGTTATCTCCTCCCCATCCACCAGGGCCTGGGACAGTTCTTCCTCCGTCACGGCTGCGAAAGTCAACACGAAAGCCTGCAGGAACCTGCCACCAGGCGGGCACTATAGCGGCTGGGGAGGAGAGCACCTGCAGCCGGGAACGTGCAGCTGCTGCGGAGCGAGGCCACGGGGCCCACGCTCCGTCCTGGCCTTTCACTTTCCTTCTCCTCTTGCAGGAACCCCTCGCCAAGGAGGCTGCTGGCAGCAACCTCGCAAAATCGAGAAAGGTATGAAGGAGAGATGCAAAGATAACCTACCAGTTCTTGTCTCAGGTTTTGCAGGCTCCAAAAGCTGCTCTATTTTTACGACAGCGGATCCAGTTACGGAATCTTTGTTTTGCCAAAGCAGAGAACTCTAAAAACGCTAATTAGCAGTACAGTTGCAGCTATAATGAGTCCCTCTAGTGTCAGCTCTGGCGTTGCAGGGAACAGAAGGGAGAAAACAACTTGGAAACGATGGATCTCTCAGGGAGGCCGCTCAAACCCTGAGCAGGTCCCACAGGGCTGAGGTATCGTGCCTCTACCATCACGTCAAGGAGGTGCCAAAGGACATAATCCCAATGAGAGGAACCAAATCGCTGCCCTCCCGTTCACCCCGACAAGACCTGCCCAGGATGTGGGGCCGCTCAGAGCGCCCTTTACCTGCAAACACCCACCTTGGTTATCAAGCTTCTGCAGGTGCGGGAGGTTACGCAGCACAGTCATTCGGTAGCGGTGGGGGTCTGACCCACAGCAAGGGTTGTCCGACAGCCACAGGACCCTCAGCCGGGGCAGGTTTTTGAGGTAGAAGAGCTCATTCAGGCTCGCGATGTTGTTCTTCCTCAGGTAGAGTTCGCTCAGGTTCTGGCACTGATTCAGCGGCTCAAGGTCCGAGATGCTGTTCACACTGAACAGAAACCAGGAGATCAGAGACTGGGGAGCCTCCCTCGCTGCATCATCCAGGTGGGAGCAGGACCCCTGGATAACAGCCCCTTTTCCTGCAGCACCTTAATTTAGGGACCTCGTGCTGGCACAGCACTGCAAGGGAGGGTGCTGAGGGCCTACGACATCACAGAGCAGAAAGACAACATCCCATCTTTTTAAGCAGAGAAAAGAATTACAAAAGCGGGCTCACCTCTCTGCTGAACACGAGAAATGGCCTTTGCTTCCCCTAACTCTCCATCACACATATACCCTTTGCCACAGCAGTTGCTTAGACAGGACAGCCCATGTAAGATGACCAAGCTAAAAAACTTAAATTCAAGGACAGCAGAGGCTCTGTGTGATGCCCCGAACACACAGAAGAGTCGCCAGGAGGTGAAGGGAAACTAAAAACCTCGTAAGATTTGAAACCATTCTGCTAACAGGTCCCATATCGAGGCTGACAAAATCTCATCTAAACTATGGGACATGACTCCAGGGAGGAAAAAGCCAAAGAGGTTTTACCACCTCTGGAAATAACAACTATTTCCCACCCACAAGCTGAGTAGTCAAGGTAAAGGAGCAGAGGAGCTGGGTGAAAATCAGCATGTTCACATCTCTGGCCCTTGTGAGCTCAGGCAAGAAGCTAGAGCCCTCTGAGACATGCGACTCTCATTGTCCCTGCCCTGTCCGTGGCCAGAAGTCTGGTGTTTACCTGAATGTGATCACCTCAATGTTGGGCAGATCCCGGCATATCGATATCTGGGCAGGAAAAGACAGGAGCAATAAGCCAGGAAAAGATAAAATAAAAATAAAATCGCTCACAATGTAACAGCACAAACAGCAATTTTAAGGACACCTTGGTCTCACCCCAGCCTTACACAACCAGAGGGATTTGCTGCCACCCTCAGCAACCCCTCCACACTCTGGAACCAGCTCCTGTGCGGGTGGCTCCGGATGCCCAGGGACATTCCTGCGCGGATGGCACTGTCAGTGGCTCTGGATGCCCAGGAACCTGGGATGATGCCCTATGCGGGTGGCACTGCCAGTGGCTCCCCATGCCCAGGGATCCAGGATGATGACCCGCATGGGTGGCACTGCTGGTGGCTCCGGATGCCCAAGGACCCAGGATAATGCCCCACACAGGTGGCTCCACATGCCCAAGGACCCGGGATGCTGCCCCACGTGGGTGGCCCTGCCGGTGCCTCCGGGTGCCCAGGGACCCGGGATGATGCCCCCATGCGCCGCCCCTCCGTCACAGGCCGCTGCTTACGTCCGTGAGGTGGCTGCCCCTGCAGGACAAGAGCCAGGGGGTCACGGCGGTGCCCGGTGCCCCGTGTCGCACCACCCCCACCTGGGGCCACCTCTGTCCCCCTCTCACCACTGCCTGC